CACATCTATCTCTAAAGTAAAAGCTACCCCTGAAAATTTGTAAAAACAGTGAAAAGCCATATGCATGCACTTCAGGGCGCATTTTCAGTATATTTGCATTACACTTTTTATTTGAAGATGCTTTATTCTTTGTGCCCCAACTTTTTCCATTCATTTTATCCTCAAAGCCATGATAGACTGAGTAGGAAATTCGAGTAAGGAGAGAACAGGTTTTTCTCTAACTGGCACTAATTCCACCGTGTTGAGAAGCGATTTCTGTTGATTGATTAAAGTCCATTAATTTTTTTCAAATTTTTGTCATTCTGATCCGACAAGATGTATCGTAATGACGCCTTTGGTAAATCCGTTCTATGCTATCCAGATCCAGCAGAAAGTTTCTTATTGTCCCTGTCCTTTTTTTCTGCCCGGTAAGTGTCCCCTTTTAAGGGTTGTTTTCTGTACATTGAGGTTCACTCTCTTTTTTGCTTTGAATTTATCATATTTCTCAATACATTACTATAGATAGTCATTTTTGGTAACTCTATTTCGAGGTAGGTAGGCTTTTCTTAAACGGTTTCTAATCGCTTGTTTTAATAAAACTTGGGATATTAATTAACCCAACAGAAGCCTCAATAAGTTGTTCAGACTATTACTCTGCTGATAAACTTTAGTCCTTTCAAAGGCAATTTGAGGCACAAGTTGGCATTTTTTTACTAATCACCCCGTACTCCCTCTGATACGGATCAAATACAAGGCCCGTTGCGTGAGCAGACTATGGCGTCTTGGTCACATGAATAAAATAACTTAATTCGAGCCTCCTTAACTATCAGCGCACTTAGCCAGCCGGAGGGCAGAGCTTATTAAGAACGAATACTTCTTAGGGAAATTGTATCAGGCCCAATCTAGCGAAACAAGGAAAGGTAGACCCCCTCTAGAAATCACTCATTTCTAAATTTAGTGATGAAATTTTCCCACTTGTATGAGGCATTGCCTGTGGCTCATTATCCACCTATTTTTGAATACGTCGTAGTAGAATCTTATCTACTTCCTACCCTTACTTGTTGCATTAGGTTCATGGAACTGCCCCAGATATCGCTGGCCAAAACAAGGCAAATCCAACCGCCTTGCTTTTTTCTGCCATCATGATGCTGCGCTACATGAATCTCACAAACCACGCTGCTATTATCGAGAGGGCTGTTTTTGATGTAATCAAGGAGAAAAAGGTAAATAACTGGACCTATTTTTTGTTATATCTCGTTTTCCTAAGATAGGGGCACTGCAAATTTTTTAAAAACTCGAGGCTTTATTGTATGGGGTATGAACAAGGATGTTTTGCATAGACCTTTCTGCTTTAGAAATGAGATGGCAGTCTCGAAAACTCTTTGATAAAAAGAAACGCGATATAAAACTACGCTCATGGTGTCAAGACCCACACAGCAAAAAATCTTAAATATGTCTATATTCGAGTGTTCTATTAGCATGACATTTTTTTTCATTTACTTTTCTTCAGAAGTTAACCATGGATCTGGGCGGAAAGGCCAGTTGCTCAGAGTATACTGATGAAATCTGCCTCAAGATAAAATCTCTACAGTAACATTATCAACCAATACGAGCATTGGCAGAACGCTATCCCATCACGTCTCGATTCTTTCCCAACGCAATTGACATTTGGAATCTAAACTTTTCTCGC